CGCCTGGTATAATTTTCAAGCCACTGGTTCCAGGACTCGAACCATGGTGTACCGTGTGAGATTCCAGCTCCTTAACTACCATGCCACCCTGCTGTCCCTTATTTTTAATCTTTTAAAGTATATTTTCATAATAGCTTCATTCAAATTATCTCCAGTTATTATATTATCTCCAGTTTTTGGGCTTCTAACTTTCTTATTTGTTCTATATGCTCCTGTTTCCTATTTTTTAAAATTATGTTTCACATCATATTTTTATTATTGGCTAACTTTAACCTGTAGGTAGTATGATACTGGGCTTCTTTGTTAAGGGGGAGTCTTAAAAAGTTGGGTTTATGGATGTCTTCTTATGTATGGTAGCTTTAGATTAGATTCTGCTAGAACCTTAGAAGTTTCCCAAATTCAGGAACAGTTTTTATATTAATCCCTGTATTTGAGGTTTCCTGATTTTATATCTAATTCAGATCTGAATATAGTACCTGCACAAAGGTTATTAGGCTGATGGCAAGGTTTCTTGAAACTTCTTGGAATATAGGGCAGAGCTTTTCTTGTCTGATTTTCGAAAATCGGGTAAATATTCAGTCTTAGTTACTAATATTTTTGCAGGATACTTAGTGTGAGTTCTCATAAACCCTGTCATGGGCATTAAGACTCCATGGTCCTTCCTTTTTCTTTTCTTTTCTTTTTTCTTTCATTTCTTTTCTTTTCTTTCTTTTTTATTTTTATTTGTGTGTGTGTGTGTGTGTGTGTGTGTGTGTGTGTGTGTGTGTGCTTTGACAACAGACATTTATTTTCTCACAGTTCAGGAGGCTGGAAAATCCAAGATCAAGTTTTAAGCAATTTCTGTTTGCGGTGAGTGCTAACTTTCTGTTTTACAGATGGCTGCCTTCTCACTGTGCCCTCCTATGGCCTTTCCTTGGAGTATGGAGGGGTGGGTGAGAGGTGCACTCCGGGATTTCCTCTTGTAAGAAACCAATCCTATTACATTATAACCCCACCTGGCTCATTTACCTTTAATTATTTCCTTACTCCAAATATAGTCACACTGGAAGTTAGGGCTTCAATATATGAATTTGGCAGGGGTGGACACAGATTTCCATTCATAACAATAATATATCTAAAGAGATTAGAACAGAGCCTCATAAAGTACTCTTCTCATTCCACCTAGCATGTTTCCACTAGAAATACAGACAAGAATATCATTTCCAATAAAGTAAGGACTTTTGTCCATCTTGTTGATGACAGAATCTGAAGTGAACAGAATGAATAGCTGTTGTTCATTATTTACTGAATGCATGAAAGAATACTTCTAACAGGCACATATAGTTTCTAGTTGCTTCTTTAACAAGCATACAGTGAGATGTACTATTTTAACTAAGTAGTTTACATGACCTAACATGTTTAGTCTTTATGTAACATTATGAAATAGTCTTATTGCTCCAATTTTTGTAGATGAAGTTCAAAATATTATGGCCTGTCGAAAGGCACACAGATAGTAAGTAGCAAAGCTGGTATTTGAACCCCGGCACTGCTCTAAGAGTATTATGCTATTATCCATAATGCCTTACAAAATTGGCCATAGCAGCCACAGAAGTGGGACTGTATTGGTGGTTCCCAAGGAAATGGTGTATTTTTTGATGTAGGAAGAGTATCTCAATTATGTTTGCTGAAGTATGAAGTATATTTGAAATGACAATCTATAAGCTTTTTAATAATCTGTCCAACTGGAATATTTGTTTCCTAATTTGAGGAGAAAAATAAAGCTGTTTTGGTTATTGCTGAGATTCAGAGAAATCCAACTTAGCATCCAACTTCTCCTATCTCCCAAAGTTTTGGTGGGCCTAAATATAAGTCCCTGTAACATTCCTTTTTCTCTTATTTTGCATTTATTGTCACATTTTACTCTTGAGTTTTTCTTTTTCTTTCTTTTATACATCTCGTTTCTCTTATTATTTATAAACTCTGTGTTTTCACCATATTCTTTTTGTTGTTGTTGTTATTGTTTGCTATTTCATCTTCCTACATGCTCTCTCTCTTCGATTCACTTTTTTCTTCACAATCAGACGTCATTTCCCCAGTTCTCTCCCTGGGGAGCTTCTGAATCATCTTTTAAAATATTGCTATTATTTCTTGCTAGCTGTTAGTCCTCAATAATGAGTCTATGTGGGTGGGTATGGATACAGAATAACTGGATCTTTTCATATGCATTCCGTCTTTGTGGATGATGCAACGGGCATCACAAAATCTTGAAGGGCAGGATCTTGAGTCAAGGAGCTGTTTACGTTTCTGCCTGTGTTGGTCTGTATCCATGAGGCCTCCCATGATCCTTCCTCTTAACACCAATGTTCCTACCCAGGCGTTTCTGATTTTCTGCTCTCAGCTCTCATTTGATGACTTGGCTTCAGGATCTTTCTTAGCTTCTAGAACCTGACAACTTTCTTCCTTCTACCTCCTTTTCCTTTCTTCTTCTAGCCTTGGATATATTTTTTAATACCTTTAACTCATTACATAAGTAATGAGTTTAATTAAGAAGGAGTGGGCCATTGACGTCTGCTCAGTTTGTCATGTTAAGACTTTGATGTTACAGGAAGTTATTTTTGACGTAGTTGTCTGAGAATGGGACATAGGATCAGATTCACAGGAGTGAGTCTATGAGTGCAAAAAATCTGTACACATTCCCTGAGACTCATGAGACAGGAATGAGTTACTGCTGTTTAATTAAGGAGAGATGTTGTCTTTGTCTATCCTTGTTGCTAGTAAGAAAGTCACAAAGGAAAAAGGTTTTTTTTCCTCTAAAGGTCATAGGTTGTTTGTGTGTGTATGTGTGTGTTTTCTCTTTCTCTTTTCTGTTTTTTTATTTATAAATCAGAAAAAATTTACTGCATTTTTTTTTCTAGATTATTGGATAGAACCTATTTTATTTTTTTAAAGTCATAAAAACTTTATGTATAACACATAGTTCAATGCTTTGAATTAAAGAGTAAACATAAAGATTCATCATTAATTTGCTGATGGTTTTTAACATTCTTATCATCTACCAACATTTGTACATTTAAAGCTCTGTAAGAGACTAGTATTTCTTTTTTCCTCATTTCCCCTCTAATATCCAGTGATAGTTTCTTTTTTAATTTTTAAACAATTTTTAATTAATTTATTAATTAATTTACATTCGTTCACTGAGCATCATCACAGAATACAGAATGTGTGTGTGTTTCTTAATAATTTTATGCTAGATTTAGAAGATTAAGATAGGTTTGTCACTATCAACAAGTTATGACCTTCAAATTTAGGAAATTGGTAATAAGACATACCCAGAGATTGTTATAGCTAGACAGTTATGAGCAGGAAGTCCCAGTAAGCCAACAAAGGGGCCATCTGACATATCAGTCACTGTTACCAGGGATTGCAGCTAGACCCTCTGGTGCCAGAAAGAAGAGGTTATCTACTTTTATTACCTAAAGCTTTCTTCAAAGAACCTAGAGAAGGTTACTATCTTCCATGGGCACGTTTGGAAGTTTCCACATATACATACAGGAATTCTCTGGGGTGTAGTGATCTACATTACACGTCCTTCTCAGGGCAATAAACTGATATGGGCAAAACCATCCCCATGGGCATGCTCATACCTTCAAAGTTCATACTGGGCATACGGTTGACTCCCTCCAACCAGGTAAGAAAATTCCCTTACCTGATAAGAAGTATGCAGACACAGCAAAAAAGCCAGTGAATTCAAAAGGAGCCAGCTACAGTGACAGACCTCCCTTCCTAAATATTCATGATAAGATTCCACACTAAAAGCAGCACCTAACCCCCTTCCAAGTACAGTTGTCCTTTGGTACCTTCTTATTCCCACACTTTTCTGGGATGAGGAGTATTTTTTTCTATTAAAATCTCCACTTTTCTATTAAAAACTCCTCTTTATTTATCTATTTATTTTTAAATTTTATTTTATTTATTTTTAATTTTTTCATTTCATTTTCTTTTATACATTCAATCACATTATTATTTGGCTTACAAAATGGATATTTCAACAGGTGAACATTTCTCCCTAGTACAGTTAATAAAACTACAAATATTTTCAGCAGATAATACCACATTTTTTTGTGCCATTAATGCTTTGCCTCCCTATTGTTCTTCTAAATATCCTTCCTCAGACCTTCCTCTTTCACATACACTATATCTGGTATTTACATTTCATATGGCTTCATTCTGCATCTCAGGGTGGGTCTCTAACTTAAGAGACCTGGGCACAAAGAATCTAGCATTTCACACAATTCAGTCCAACTTCTATGTCCAATAACAAGAGGTTGATATGTCTGCTAGAAGTAAACCTTCTCCCATCACCTTCTCACTCTCTGCCAGTCTTGCTGAATTAAAGTATAACAATTTTGTGTTTTGGCCTTAAATTCAAGTTTTGTCTTTAATGTAACATATACAAACATGAACCTGAAAAAAATTAAACACAGTGTGTATGGCTTCTCCTAGTTTCAAATTCACTGATGGTCAGAAGACAAGCATCTCTAAGGGGTAGAGAGTTTCAACTCCAAAAAATATACTCAAAACAGATAATCATAAATCCAAATCAAATTCAAGTAAAGAAGTATGCTTCTGCCTGGATTGAGGGAAAAAACCCCAGCTCCACAAGGAGTGTAGACTCCCTCAGGGATTTCTTTTACATAACAAACACATTTCCTGTTTAGACTTTATGTAATGCATTTCTCACACCTCTAAGTCCACTAACAGGCCTCTTTACTCCTTCAGCCTCCAGACATTCAGAGTGGCAGGACCAGAGACTGCTAAAATGCAGAGATTATGCAAAAGGAAGACACTGAGGTTTTACATGGCAAGACGTTCAGTCTGAAAGTATTTATCGTTAGACTGACCTCAGCCAGGAAACAGTCAAAGTGCATTGAGTCATACTCTGAATAACGTAATGAAGGTATATAGTCCTTTTCTGACTCACGACATTGAGAGGTAGTCCTTGATGTTGTGAGTCAGGTCTATCAGGCTGTCCTGAGTAGGGAGAGGCCTGCTCTGGAAACAGTTCTTACTGCATTTGAGGCCAGACTGCTTACAGCCTGGAAAAGAATTCTGCACTGGGCTCTTGTCACAGGATCAGCACATGATGGTACTACCCCTCTGTCTATTACACTGCAACAGTGCTTCCTGGGGTTTGTTTCCCCCTCCACTCTGTGTGCTCCTAGTGGACAGATACTGTGTTTTATTCATCTTTGTATCCCGCAAAGAATGAGTTGCACGAAGATGAATAAAACAATAATGGGTACATTCTTTTAAATGAGAGACTGCGTTGATAATTCCTCCTTAGAGGGAGAGGTTCTGGCCCCTTGAGTCTCCATTGCACCAAATGCAGAGACAATAATGCTCCGGCCACCAACAATTTCTTTCTTGACTCTCAACAGCCTTAGAATAATTCTACTGCCTTAAGGCAATAAAATATGATCTTTAGTCCCTTCTGGGAATCCCATCTATGGATTTGCCTTTTACACAGAAGCAGCTTCAGAGAAAAGGCAGAACCAAACTAGAGAAGTTAGATTACCTACATAAAAGGCAATAAGGCCCACGGGAACATAGAATACACCTTCAGTTACAAGCATTTAACCTCCCACTGACAAGCAATACTTGTCCAACATGATATGCATACATTTTCAATTTCTCTAAGATGCCAGGAAAGAGGAAGGGGTGTGTGCCTTGGATCCGAAGGTTCTCTTTCCACCCAGTACCAAACAAAAAAAATATACTCTAGTTACTTTCCCCATAAAACTTAGAGGCATAGGGATGAAGCAACTAAAGACTTTGCTCCTCTCCACAATAACATTTCTCGTTCTGACACACACCCGCAAAGATGACTTTGGGGAAAGTCAAATCCTGACTTTATGTTTCCAAGTCTGGCTAGCCATGGATGAGGGCACAGGGATGGAGTATGAGTCTGTCATGTCCTCCTTATGGGTGAAGCTGCAGTCTAAGTCCAGAACTAGGGGACCAGGTTTTGAAGAATTCACAGCATTGAATGGGGTTGAAATTCTAGACTTGGAATAAGAAAACCTGGATCCCCCATTCCAGCTCTATCACTGACAGTCTATATACCTGAACAAGTTTCTTCCTACTCTGGGCTTCAGTTTTCTAATGTATAAAATATGGAAGACAACAGGCCAACAGGTAGCATAGAGATTAAAGCACAGGGTCTCGTATGGCCAAATGTGTAGTTCAAGTCTCAGACCTGGTGGATTGGGAATCACACTACACACATGTGTGTGCATGCCCAAAAATCCCAAGAGGAAAATGGAGGAGAAGGGATTACTACATGGCCATCCCAGCGGGGGGGGGGGTGTGTGGACAATTTCTTACTTCCTCCCCCTAACCACCCTCTTCCATCTTTCTCTGGTGAGCACACATATCTTACAGCAAAAACAAAACAAAACAAAACAAACAAATGAAAAGCCGGTCTCAGAAGTGGCTTCTCAAGTACCCTGAATATACAGAAAGGCTGATCTATATTTGGATTGATCTGACAATGATATGGTCTACACACACGGAACATAGAACCTGTGGGCTCCCTTGCCCATGTGGCAGCTTTGGGTAAAGGCACTGCCCATTAAGGTTGCTCTTACTGCAGAACCTGAGCACATGAAGCTGTGTACCTACAGGGCCAAGGTAGAAGAGGGCAGGCCAATCATCTTCCCTAACATTGCATGCTCCAGTGATGCTAGAGAGAAAGGTGTGTACTGGGAGTCCAGACAGAGCCTGGCACAATGGTATCTTTGTAAATGAATGATCAAATCTCAAGGTAGCCTTTTCCCCCCAAATGTAGACTAGGACTCAGGAGATGTTGCAATGGATGTGGTTCTCATAGAATTTACTATAGGTAGATATTCCAACTTTTCCAACTTGGTTATGCTTTTTCTCTGAAGCTGTTTTTTTATGGACTAAGTCTTGGGTTGGTATCTCCAGGAGAGACCAATGGCCACATTCTCAAAGCACTTAGGGCAATAGAATGATTCTAAGACTGTTAACGAAGTCAAGGGAAGCACTGGCAGTGGCCTGAGCAGTACTGTCTTTCTTTGGTGCTGTGATGTCAGTGCTGACATCACAGAGCTCCTCCTCCCTGGCCCACTCCACATACTCTCTACAAACCTTTACAGGCAGGACTCAAATATGCTCACTCTCATCACTCTCCTTTCCCTTTCCTTTGAACTGATTTTTTTTTTTCTTGGGCATCCAGTTATTAAGGGTGGATCTTTACATGAAAATAGTTTCCTCCAACCCAAAAAGATATGCTAACATTCTCTTAGCTTCCCCTTCTCCCCCAGCCCATGTTTTTGACTATAGGAGGTTTATTTCAGTTGCTTAAATAGTAGAAATTTAAAAATATAATCATAGACTCTTTCCAACATGTTAACATGGTCATTGAGTAGAATAAACAACCATCCTGGTTTGCCTTGAAATTAAGATGTTTCCTGGAATATGGAGTTTCAGGTTTAATCCTGAGGCAACCCTGGGAGAACTGAAATAATCACTCTGACACTAGAGAGCTAGCGTGATTCCAACTCTAGGAAGAGGAATATTTGGCATCAAAAAGAACCTCATTATAAGTTAAGTTTTTCCAGAAAAAGAATCTATAGGCAGTACCTGGGATGGTTGTCCACCCTGTTCAAGTTCATGGTAGCAAGTTGTAAAGAGTTCATGGTCCAGGGACTAGCAGAAGGTGTAATGGTTACATCCCTGGACTCCCATGTAGTCGACCATGAGTCCTGAACCTGGTAGCTTAAAACTCATGTCAGGCACATGCATACCCAAAATCTTAAGAGGAGAATAGAAGAAAAGGGATTGTAGCTTGGCCATCCCCCCTGGGGGGTGATTTCTCACTTTCTATCTCTCTGTCTCTCTCTGCAGCTCTGCAAGAGCACATGCTATAGCAAAAATCTCTCTCTGAAAGAAAAAAGAAGAGTTCATGGTACATTTTAAAAGTTTCTATTTAATTTATTATTATTATTCCACAAGAGAGGAAAGAAATAAAATGAGAGAATCCCAGCAGAATCTTGGTACCACACTCACTTCCCAGCCTCAGCCAGCCTGGATCATGAGCACATGCTTGCTGAGCAATTCAGGGAAGTCTTTGGATATAAACCACCAACCTTTCCATGTGGGTCTGGCACAAAGAGCATTGCAATTTACCGTTGTGCTACTGTCCAGCCCCAGAAGTTTCCACCTTTTAAATAACTGAAGTAAATCTCCTCTAAACTTAGAATATGTTACAGAAGCA